TGTTATGCCCCCGGCGATCTTTGCATGGCCATCTCGGCGTTTAGTAGAGAGAGCGAGCATTGAAGAGAGCAGCACCGATGCGAGTTTATTTGTTTATTTATTTTGTTGGTCAATCACAGAGTGTGACAAACAGAGTGATAAGGTAGTATCTTAATTAGAGGCACAATCGATTTCCTTACTAAAATATCCAGTAAATTAGACATTGGGAAGAATCCGTAGAACCAGGGTCAACCGTCCGTTGGACAAAGTCCAACGCGACGACGAGAGTAATGCCGAGAGTGAACGTACGCACGGAGACACAGACGGCTCGCGGGTGGCGAGAGTGAATGCCGGCGCGGAGAGCGGTCAACATCGGTCCAACGTCGCTCCAATATCGGTCCAACGTAACGGTTGACCCTGCGTAGAACCATCTAGGCAAGTTTGAGTTAAGGAATAATGTGCTTAAAAAAGTTGCATCAATGAGGAAATCGACGGGATCGCCTTCAACATTTGATTATTCGTAGTTAAAGTTCCAATGCGCCTCGCAAAAATTTGAGAGCACATGCAAACGTATGTACATACAAATCTGACGTTATGTAAGGCTCATAAAAAGGAGGTAAATGTAAAGAAAAAAAATGGAGGACTCCCTCACCCGTAACGGAAAGAACTTCTGAAGCAAAGCATATGATAAAGACAAGGTGACAGTGAAGTTTGGATTTTCGTTCGGCAGTTCCTTTCCCAACACTCAGACGCTATGGATGCGTATGACTGGATGCGATACCTTCCATTGGGAATGTAGAATTCACGAAGTCACCTGACACGTTGCGCGCACCGCAAGCTTTCTGCACCGTTCCCAGTCTCCCTATTTTCCGCACTACTTTATTATGCGGGTACCCGACTGAAGGCCCGTGTCGCGACAAGAAGGCAGAGACGCAGATGGGTCGGCGGACGAGTTGCAGCGCGTGTTGTTCGACATGGTACGCATCACGAGTAGCTCATTCTTTAGAATTGTTTTGTCCCGAAGTCTCAGGTTGATCTAAATTTGTAATAAACAATGTGAGACTTCAGGTATTCATTGCGAAAGACTCTAAAGCTTTCACAAAAATTTATTGATTTTGTTCTTTTTTCATTTTAGTTTTACAGAAGGCCCATCGCAATAAAAATTGAAGTCTCACAATATTTATTACACATTTAGACAGTACATTCTATTTAAATTGACGTGAAATCACTGCAGTACGCGCTGCGACTCGTCCGCTGACCTGCCTGCGTCTCTACTTTCTCTCCTTGCGATGGGCGTTCTGTCGGGTACTCTTATGTATTATGCGATATTACCGGCTTTCATGGAAAAGAATTTTTTATTTCGAGAAAAAAAAACAGTACATGCTAATCATCAAACAAGGAAGAATCGCTCTATCACAGAATGTACTCGTGAATGATTATGACGGCGTTCAACAGTTGGAGCAGACAAAAAACAAATTTGGCACTGGTCAACAATCGGCACAGGGATGAGGACGGGAAATCATTAAGGCAATTTCACGAGCGATTGGATTTTATTATTATTATAGAGAAGTGAAAATAAGTTGAAAAAAGCTTGGAAGATCACTTCTGGAATACTTTCAATTGTAGCATTTCACGTGCTGCCCTGATATGTTCACGTTCCACCGACTCATCCTCATCACAGGTAGCCTTGGCTGCCTGGAAAAATCAACTTTTTTTCGCTATTATAGAGACACAGGTGAGCCAACGTCGAGAAGTAAACGGACTGGGTTTTTGCGTGGAAGAAATGCAGATTTACTGGAATTGTTTAGTGTAGTTGGCAGTTCTTTTGAAAGGCTGTTAGAGGGCCCAATACTCTTTTAAAGGGTTTTTTTTTACAATATCTTCGATTTAAGAAAGATTTGAAATTTGGAGAGCCTGCACATACATACAGTACCGTGCAGTGAAGTATTCGTTTTCACTTTTTTAAACGTAATTTCCTCAAAACTCAAGCTTTCGCAGTAAAACTTCGACAGCAGGTGACACACACAGGTAGTAATATTATAGCAGTGTATCGGTGCAGTAGCCTCCTTTCAAGGGGAAATGGAGCTTCATTTTCGAGTATTGTCCGCGGGCACCCAATTCGTGATAAACGATGAGTTTTCATGTTGAGAGCTCGTGTGTTTTTGCTGTTTTGTGTCAGTTTCATATGCCTACACATTACTCAGAACATCCCAAGACATTTGGGAATTCTTAGCTTGTGGCAGGACCAGGTGACGCCATCTTTCGGAGCTTCTACAAAGGCTTAACATCCTAGCAGATTTTCGAAGTTCAAGGAGCGTCAGTGGACGACTTGGAGAAATAAAGGGCACGGCACCTGCCAAAGTCAAAATGTGTCCAGAAAGCAGCAAAGAATGAGCCCTCCTCTCGCCAACAGAAACATTGTGCGATTTGCAAGGAGTGGATCACATCACGCTGCAACCCCACATTCACCCGAATCTCTCGACGCCAGACGGTCCAAATTCCGTCCGCAGACAATGTGCGACGTTGTCTGAGAGATGCTGGTCTCTTCTGACGTCGCCCAATGAAGAAACCGCTGATTCTCCTCAAGAGTGGCAAAGCGCGTCTCAATTGGACTCATGCCCACAAGAAATGGACTATTAAGCAGTGACAAAAAGTCCATCTGGGCAACGAGTCGAAGTTTGGGACGAATGAATCAAGTTTATGCGACTTCCTGTTGGTGCCAGATACCATCCGAGGTTCCATGTGCTGACGTGAAGAATGCAGGTGGTGCGGTGATACTGCACGGCAGCTTCTCTGGCAAAGGGGTTGGTCACTTTCATCGGACCGAGGGTAAAATGGATTCCAAAACGCGCCTCAACATATGGATGACTGCTATCTGGCCGCATGCTCGCAGTGTCGCCCGTAGTGTTTCATTTTCCGACCCCAAGCGCAAAATCAAAGCCGCTCTCGAAATGGTTCCGCAACAACAATGTTCCTCTACTGCCATGCCATCGCAGTCCCCATACTTGAATCCGAGCAAAAATCTATAGGATGATTTTCGGAGTCAAGTTGAAGGCCTTTAAGCTCAACATCAAGCTCGAAAAGTTCGTCCCACTGAAGATCGCGTAGGGAAACCTCCACCAAGAAAAAATCCGAGTCCATGCTACGCCGGTGTCAAGCCGTCATAGATGAAAACGGTTCTGCGACAAAGTGCTGATGTTGTAGTTGTTACGTCTGTTATTATATAAGTTATTTTGTTATTATTTTTGAATTTTAGATAGATTGAAGTTTCGAACAAGTAATATGGTATTGGACCGAAAAAAATTAAAAATTTCTAAATTGGTATACAAGTCACCTAGACAACTGAAAATTTGCTCCCTTATCACATATAGTGATATGTACTCACCTACAAAAAATCGGAACAAAAGCTTGAGTTTTGAGGGAGTTACGTTTAAAAAAGTGAAAACGAATACTTCACTGCACGGTACGTATGTAGCTTCACAAATATGTCAGTTTGCTTCTGCATTACCTGTAGTAAACCTCCCTTTTAGTGAATTTTGGGAAGAATTCGGTTTTAATGAGAGGTAAGGTGCATAAGTTGGGTAGGGTCACAAGACTAGATGGCAGGGAAATCCAATTGTTCTGGGCTGGGATACTCTATGCATTCGACTGTCTACTCTGAATTGGAAGCGCCATTTGTCGCATTGCGAAATAGTGTTATTAGGTATATGTGGGGGGGGCCAGTCTGGCATGGGAATATTTTGTCATCCGGGACAAAAAGGGGACGAATCGAAAATTGCAGCCTATGCATTGTTTCCGGAAAATGTTCAGTAGAACCAGAAACACAAGCAAAATTGCGTAATGATATTGTTCACCTCAATGAGCCATTTTTTCGCTTCAGCGTAATCACCTTTGGCATAGAGTACCCGTCCAAGGTATAATCTGTTCTCTGTTATGCCTGGTCGAAGCTGCTCCGCCTAAAATCAGACATATGAACTAAGTATCGTTGGTACTTCAGCGGGATGGTCAAAGACTTCACTTGTGTCTATAAGGTTGACTTTTTTACTTCGAAAAGCATTTCTCCCGAGCCCTGCGACTCAAAGACATTATTCTGAATCAACCGGTATGGCTATGCGGCCACGGAAATCCAATGTATTGCTGACGATCAATGGGCCGACGCCCGTAAAGCAAAAAAAAAGGAAGGCGAGTCGTCGAGACGCGAGTAAAGGCGCCTTGGTAACCGGGTCTGCTAAGGCAGTGAGAGGCTAAGCGTGGAGATGAAAGTATGAGGTGAGAAAAGAGAGGTGCGCAAGAGATGAGAGGATACCAATATAACAAGCGGAGATACTAGAAAATTACAGCTGCTGCAGCTAACTTTGCAAGGCCCTAGCGCTCTTGTCGGGTGACTTCTATGTACGCGAGTGCGACATCTCGCTATGTCCCTCTTGGTCTACGCTATTTAGGCTGAAAGCAGCATCATTCACACGACGCTCTGCTCGGGTTGCTGGCCTTTATGCATCTATAAGCTTAACAAGCTCAAACTGAGGTCCCTATTTCGTATGTTTTGACGCCTTCTTCTCAGACTCGTCAGGCGGAAGTTGGTGCAGTGACAAGTGGCGCGGGGATCGAATCTAGGGTCCGTGAGTCGCCCGGGCCAACCAAGCCTTCCATCCCTCCGGGGTCGGTTAATTGGTACCAGACTTGTCTGGGAGGATAAAAACACTGACTTGTACATCGGCTGGCCCCCGCAAGTCATTGTATAGGCCACATCGCATTCAAACGCCACTACGAATGTACAAATGGAAGTAGAATGCGTGCCGCATCCCAAAAAGGGATTGATCAACGGCAAATGCTTTATCCTTTTTTTCCTGGCGCACCATGGCCTTGCTGTGCAGTTCTTGGGTGCAGGGATGCTGGAAGGTCTCAAAGTACATTCCTGCCCTGGGAGTTGTGAAATTACTGATTTTTTTTTTCGAAAATAGAGTTGTTACTTACATTGAGGGCGGCAGAAGCATGACGCATCTGTTTTCCAATTTTATCAACGATTCCTATCATAAATTCTATCATACTGCATGGGATAACTACAAAAACGCTCCATATTTACATCCCCCACTCCCCAGCCAGTCGTTATCATCAATTTCTGCCCCCTGGGGGCGTTCAAAAATTGCGTATGACACCCATGTTTCAGGGGCCATCGCGGGCAATTGGGAAAAGTTTTCAACCAGCAATAAACGCACCTCGGCAGAGCCTCATTGGTCACGTTATCGCCTCTGCGCAAAGCTACCTGACAGGTGTTCCCAGCAGTACTCCAGCGCTGAGCGCCGTAAACGGCGAGGGTTTCTTCGCAAGCATCAACTATTATGTATTTTTGAACAAGAGTTTCTTTGGAAAAAGTATTGTTCTAATTCATATAAACTTTTTCTTCAGATAGCAGATCTTACGTCTTCACCTACTCCTAACTCAGCTCAGTAGTGATTTGAAAAAACTGCCTTAACTCCAATAGATCCTTCAAAGCGGCGTCCATTGATACCTGTGGCAACGTTCCCATCGTTCTCGCTGCCAGTCGTTCAAAGAAACTCAGATTAGCCACCTAAAATATCTCAATTGGAACCCAAGATCAACTACTTGTCAAATGACATTCCTTCTCCCTACTGGCTTTTCATGGCGAGGCTCATTTTTGCGTAAGTTTCAAACGACTTTTTCTTTCTAGCGAACAAGAGGGGTGGCCCGTTGTGAAGCCTCTGTAACGAAATCGGCCCTCGAGATGATTTTTTTGCCAAAGGCTATCCAGATCTACCGTACCATTGCGCCTGGAAAAGTAATACACACACTGCTGCATCGATGGTTCAGTGGTAGAATGCTCGCCTGCAATGCGGGTGGCCCAGGTTTGTTTCCCAACCTATGTATCAAACCGTTGGGGTGATTCAACGGCCCTTTTCTTACGTAATGTTAAAAGTGAGGAATGTTTGGAACGCTTTGAAAATGTGCAGAGGATGTAGCTGAGGCCTCGTAAGGCATCACTGCAATAGGGAGCGCCTAAGTAATGACGCTAAAAAAGCATAAACGTTGTGTGTTCACTTTTGCTGTCGGGTCCGGCTCCTAATATCTAGTGGCGGGTCCATCCTTATGCCTGTCGGCTAGGCGCTCAGTGTTTCCTCGTCCTATGTACACTGGTCCAAGCCAGAAGAGAAAGAGAGGCTCCGCTTCCAGAGCCTTTGGTAGGTCCTTTTTTGTTTTCTTTGTTAGCGGTACACTTTACACCTCTACCACTTCGCACCTCCACTACCTCCACATCACGGTAATTTGAGTAATGTGCTCCTAAGTTTGCGTACCAAGATCGTACTAGTCTACAGGTGCCCCGAAGGTTGAACCTACTCACAGAAGAGATGGGGCTTTTTGGAAGCTGCTTTCGATCCGCACAATATGATGCTCGATGCGTATCGTTATATGCCAACGGGCTATCATGAGGAAGGAGAATAGTATAACCGACCTGGTAGGAAAACCTCCCTCGCATGTGCAACAACTCGAAACATGATGGATCCACAGCCACTGCCCGGTCAAGATGTGTCTGAAATGACGTACAATGAGGATACGATGAACCTGAAACCTTATTAGAATGGCTGAACGTTGGTCACAAAATCCTCATTATTGAAAGAACTTCAAAAGAGACATTCAAATGGCACGACGATTCCGAGTTTGAGATGAATACATAGCTTCTGTCTAATAGAATTTGACCCACAAAGAGCCTCTCTTTCTTCGGCCACGATGAAATTCTCACAACAGATCAAAAAGCTTCCTCGGAAAGAAAGGTGGTGAAAACGGCGTGAAATCTGTTTTAGGCATTTTTCCAACGACGCACCATTGCATTTTAAGTGAAGTAGGGATGCCTTCCTTATTTTACTCAATTGATTGATCTTTAATTTCGCAATTTCGCGTCCTATGACCTTACCGGTCGAGCCTCTCATCAATTTCTGCCCCCTGGGGGCGTTCAAAATTGCGTAAACATGCCCATGTTTCAGGCCATCGCGGATGCGCGAATTGTCCAAAGTTTTCTAACCAGCCAATAAGACCCACCTCGGCAAGCCTCATTTGCACGTTACGCGCTCTGCGCCAAAGCTACCGGACAGTGTTCCCAGCAGTACTTCCAGCGCTGAGCGCCGTAACCTACGAGGGTTTGCTCTCGAGCACAACCACGGAATTATTACATATCGTTAACCATTACTTATGTGAAAAACGCAACATTTTTTCCAAATTCATTCCAATCTATTATGCTTTCTCCGCATATAAAAAAAATCAGGAACAATATAAAGAACTATGTGTATGTAGAACTATTATAGGGTTAATAAAGTCAACTAATTTAGGTAAAAATAGATTTGGGATAATTAAGATAACGAGTTTGAATAGCAATAAATTTGGATAAGCAAAATAATACAATACACATCATAAAAATGAAATAATGCAGCAAGGATTACGTTTTTGGGCATTAAAGGAAGCGGTCACGCTGGCTTCCACGTGGATCGCCGGAGTTCGCGTTGTCAACCGATAAGGCCGAAAAATACCCCTTGCTTCAAATGACCAGAAATTGTGCAATTGCAGAAATTGACGTGGCATTAACGTGGCATCGATTCAAGAACATCTTTGAGCACACGTGATGTCACCTTTTCATCGAGAATTTAGCCACGTGTGCCAATGCCACGTCAATTTCTGCAATTGCACAATTTCTGGTCATTTGAAGGCGAGGTAATAGTCTCTTGGACGAACTCAACCCTATGGAAGATACGATACGATTGGATAAGAAGCTATGGCTGCTTGGTATGAGGTTCACTCCAGCATGAAAATCGAACGATAAGTGTGACCGCATCATACAGTAGCGGTCAAAAGTCTTCGCCGAAATTGTTTTTCGACTGTAACTTTTTTTCCGCTGAATCAAATCAATTCAAATTTTAATATGTTTTAGAGATAGTCCTACTTCACTTAACGGCATATTTGTTTCGGATTGAGAAAGAATTAAGAATGGAAAAAATCATTTCACTAGAAATTCTCGCGTATGAGCAAATTCCAAGTAGGTTTCAAATTACTCTAGCAAGCTTACAATTCAACAAAACAATCTTACGCATGATGAATAACACTGGGCAGGTCCAATACTTTGTTAATGATCTTCTGGGTTCGCTGAAATACTAACAAGGCCTAAGTAAGGAATCAGTCATTGAATGCACTGTCTACTAGGGCAGCTTCCTCCACTTCTCTTGAAATTTGACGAGTTTCTCGCCCATATTCCCGGTTCTAATTTCCACCAAAGGTATCCCTACTCTTTCCCATAATGTTTCGATGGCGCTCGGGACATTGGTGTGAATTGTTCCTTTCGTTGAAAGCGCGCCATGCTGGCGAAAGCCACTCCTTCACAGTGAAGGTGTGATGCTTTTGGTCGCACTAATGCTAGAAGGCGAGCTCAGTCGCGGGCAGCTGTCATACACGTGGATAAGAGCTCCTTCTAGAACCCAACTGTATAGGCTGCCTTCACATGATTGCGAATACTGCGAAGTTAGTCGGCGGTGAACTGGTCGGGGGCGAAATGTGCTTACGCACACCTAAAGTGGGGATCCCCATAGGGCTACAACGTCCTGCGGACCAACGAGAGTGTAATTCAAGATGTTTGCCGGCGACTGAAATAGGAATGTGTGCGGTCCTGAGGGAAAAACGTTTCGATCCAAGGAATTAACTGCCGTATGTAAAACTTGGCGGAGGCTCGCGTGTGGTAGTCCGTAAAAGAAGTTTTACAACTGCACAGGATTAGAGAAGTGGTGAATGCCGACGTATCAGATAGATTCTAGAAGGAGTTTCGTATCCACTCGTATGAAACTGTAGGTGACTGAGTCCGCCTTCTAGCTATAGAGCGACCAAAAGCATCGCACCTTCACTGTGAAGGATTGGTTTCGACAGCATGGCGCGCTTTCAACGAAGGAACAATTCACACCAATGTCCCGAGCGCCATCGAAACATTATGGGAAAGAGTAGGGATACCTTTGGTGGAAATTAAGAGCCGGAATATGGGCGAGAAACTCGTCAAATTTCAAGAGAAGTGGAGGAAGCTGCCCTAGTAGACAGTGCATTCAATGACTGATTCCTTACTTAGGCCTTGTTAGTATTTCAGCGAACCCAGAAGATCATTAACAAAGTATTGGACCTGCCCAGTGTTATTCATCATGCGTAAGATTGTTTTGTTGAATTGTAAGCTTGCTAGAGTAATTTGAAACCTACTTGGAATTTGCTCATACGCGAGAATTTCTAGTGAAATGATTTTTTCCATTCTCTAAATTCTCTCTCAATCCGAAACAAATATGCCGTTTAAGTGAAGT